GAGTGGCATCAATCTTCTGATCTGTAAAACTTGACCCAAAGGCTTGACCTTCTTGAGACTTAACAAAAACTTCTGATAACCAGACTGAACTTCAATTTTGTTTTAATTTTCAATCTGACATTGAGTTCGTAGCTAGCGGCTGACGAGTGACATATCCGTCCCACCTTATTTTTGGGGATAGCAGTTTTTAGGATCCCTTAACATAAAGTCATAGACATATGCAATTTTAGGAGTTACTTCTATAAGCTGACCCAGCTTTACCGATTTTCATCCGCACTTGACGCTATTTTTGTGGGTATTGTTTTTTCCTCCTGAGCTCTGATTTCCAAATAATATATAAACACCACGTGTAATACTACGTCATATAGTAATGCCTGTAAGACAAAGGGTATGACATTAGTGTTTTTTTCTTTTTGCGGGAACAACTTAATTGCATGTACTTTGGCTGATGAGTATCTTTCTCTGCACAGATGTGTGGAAGTATAACTGTGTGTGAGTGACCCATCCTCATTTTCAATAATGAATATGGCCTTTAATACAGCCTGTAACAGTGAAATCTGTAGTACCAGTGGTTCATATGGCTCACTGGGTGGCTTTAAAAAATAAATTGTCCTAGAGCCTGAAGCCTGATGCATGCTTAGAAAAATTACCATTTTCTGTGCCATACACACACACACACACATCCCTATACATTAACATACATGCAAAAACACAATAGTTATGTGCACCTGTGTACACTCTGTTAATGTTTCACAAAACGCATATTTTCCCCAAAGGACCATGCTTCTAAACAAATAAGATTTTACAAAATAATTACATACGCCTGTGTTAAATTGTTCCAGAAGCTGAATGGAGGGAGTACAAGAATAATAGAACTGAATGAAATGAAAATTAGTTGGACGTGACTTATTCAGCAGTATGATGGGTGATATGTGGAAAGGTGTGTTGGCAAAATATGTGTGAATAAGAGAGACATTGCATGTGAGCATGTGCAGGTAAACAGTGAAATGGGACAGTCCGGAGCATGTGTATCCATTCACTGTAGATGCTGTGTTGGGCCGATGATCAGCCTGTCTAACTCCAAAGCGTTACTCGCTCGTAAAAACACAAAGGTAAACACACACACACCACACACACACACTCCCCTCACACATTTCATCACCTGTCTCTAGAGTGTACACAACATGATTTAGTCATAAACACATGAATAAGACATATAAATACAATATATAATGCCCCATAAAAATCAGGAGAGTCAACTTTGAAACACTTCCACTTACAGACAGTTGTACACAAACACACACACACACACTCAGCCCCCATTTTGAACCAGACTTTGAAAGTGTAATGACAATTTTAAGTTGGATTAAAGCATTTTTTTTTTCACATCCAAGCTACAGCACTGGGATGTGAAAAGAGAGGAAGAGATAATGATGGAGGGAGGGAGAGGAATATAGAAGAGAGGATAGAGTGTGTGTGTGTGTGTGTGTGTGTGTGTGGTAGTGGTGGCTGGGGATCACAGCGGAGAACCCTAAAAGAGACAGGCAGAAAGAGTGTGAGAGGGATAACAGCAACTTTAAAACAACAACCATTAAAGATTGATGTGCTGCTAATCCAGTTGCCAGCAGTTCTTCTGGCCATCAGACCCCTGTGAAATCATGTTTAACTGCAAACTAAATAGACAATGGGCACTCACACACACACGCAAAAAATTAGATAACTCAAGACCTTTTTCCTCTCCAGATTAGGAAGAGAATGATGCCAAGTGAACACAAAGTGGGCTAAAAATGCTACATGTGTAAACATGTTTCCACAGCAGGTTTTGTTAACGATTTATGTTGAAACTGAAATGAATTGTTCAGTATTTTGGTGAATATGCTTCACTTACTTGACCAAGATGAGAAGACCGATAGCACACACAACATTTGGTAGAGAGTGGGACAGTCCGCTGAGTTTCACATTATGTTTTTATACAACCACAGTATTGTGTTGTTCTCATATACATACACATATATTAATCTGCATATGCTGTTTCCCACTGTACATACTGGAAGATA